GGAAGTTTGAGTCGAAGCTCACAAACAATCTTTATAGTAAATATGTATTGGCCAAGCTTAGGGAGTTGCAGAGGAGTAGACGCAACGTATGACTGTGTGCACTAAAATCACCCAAGTGTTGTCACTCTCTAGTTTGGTCTCACTGGAGGATTGCACTGGGGTGATATACCAAACAATCCTAGGCTACTATCAGTATAGTATGTGCAAGTGCAATATTGTAGGGTGTAGAGCTTGTTTCCATCAGAAAAGATCTTTTGTTGTCTTGTCACGGTGGAATACTGAGGCATGTTTTGTGGGTTTTTTACTAGTTTTTGCAGGGATTGAAGGTGTGTTTTGTGTTTATCGACAGTGCAGTTTTACATAGCATTTTGTTTTATATATCGAGGTTCTCTTTCGAATTATGCTCATTTTAATTCACGCGATACGAGTTTGATCATTGTCTTATACCTTCAATTAGTGCTAGATTAGAGCATGTTCTCAATTTCGTTTTGGCTAGTGCCACTTCTTTGTAATTCGATATGGAGATTTATAATACCCTATATACTTGTGTCATGTCTCGAGGGATCGATCCAAGATTGTAGAGAGAAATTCTAGAGAGAGAAGGCTCTTAGAGAGAATGGATTTGTATTACTTTCAATTGTTGGATGATTACAAATGAGGGAAAGAGCACCCCTTCTTATACCAGAGGCCCTCTGATTATATCCGTTGATGTTCTTTCGATCTAGCGGAGGAGATCGCATCTCTCCATCCACCAGGCACTAAATGTAGGAAAACTCTAGAACACAGTACATTTACCATATCGTCCATCCCTGGGAATATTCTGGAAGCTCTTGAACATTTTGGACGAGTCTTTGTCGATCGTACATGGTCCTTGGTGCATGAAAATCTCAGAACTGTGACACTTACTCTGCTAAAATAAAGTCTTAATGCACTCGCTATTGCAGAAACAATACATGATACACCATCCATTGGTTGATTCTAAGCTAAGCTAAGCTAATTTCCAACTATTTCAATTCACTCTTTAGTACCGCACGACGCTAGCAGAGTAACATTGTCCGTTTTGAAAGAAACTACTGCGCCTATTCATCTTGGTAATTATTGATTTTCAGTTCAACTTTTGTATACGGAATTTTTCAAGACGTGCGATTACCCTTATGAAGTAGCAAATTTCATCATCCATAGTACTGTATTTATGCCGCACAAAGTTTCTTCTCTTTCATCTCTTTCATCTCTCCCTACTTCACTCTCCCTCACCCACACAAACTATTCTTTTAACCACCTCGATAAACTCTTATGGTACTTGGATTGATACATAGAGAGAGAGAGAGCGCGCAATTAGAGGGAAATCAATCAATGGTGTCGTCCGACCACATGACAAGTGTTCACCCATGGATCTTTTATTGTCCGAGCTTCATCCACCCCTAGTTCATCGAGGCCTACTCTTGGGATACCGAGACCGACACCAAAGTCCGCCACCACTATCACCACCTCCTCCAATAACTCCGACACCCTCATCGCTAATGTCGTCTCCCCCTTCCTCAAACACCACTCCGAGCCCGCGCCTTCTACTCCTACCGCCGCTCCCTTGGGGTTCGACCAGGAGGCCATAACGTCAAAGCTTAACGAGTCTCCATTGTAACCATCAACATGACCACCAATCTCGTATGTTAAGAGAGATAAGATGGAAGGTGAGACCCACAACAAAAGAAAAATAAAGAAATCAATGGGACATCACATTTGAGAGAAAAAAGAAAAAGGAACACTTTTGATAGAATAATATCAGAGGATACTGAAAAAGCGGGACCCAGGGAGGATAATATTGTCAAAACACTAAAATATGGAGTGTATTAGCTATGGAAGGAGTGGAAAAAGCATAGCCCTAAAAATATCGATAAAAAGATTACCGATCACCTGATCTTTCAGTAATTTGTTAATAACTTACCGATCAACTTTGTCACAATTTCCAAATAACCAACCAACCTCTTTTTATCTTTTACCAACTTTTATTCGTCTTTTGGACCAACGCCTTGAATTTACCAACTCATCCATGGATTAACCAATCGTTATTTGAGTGACTTATCAATATTTTTGCCGATTAAATTGCCAACTAATTTTGGGTTACCAATTCTCATTCAAGTTACTTACCCAAGTTAATTTGTTCTTTAATTTATCAACTTTTGCTGTCATTACTAACATTACTTGTCATTCTTACAAATGCTTTAAATTTATCAACTCTTATATAAATTTACCAATCCTTTATTTATGTAAGTTACCAGCTTTTCTTCCCTTAAATGACCGATTATTCTGGTTTACCAAAGATCTCATTCAAATGGCTCAACAAAATCTAAAAAAAATCCAACATTTATATATCTATATATATTGTTTGAGTTAGCTATTTTTCTATTAAGTTATCAACTTTTATTTAACTTGCTTACCAACCAATAAATTTACCAAGTTTTCTATTGGAATACCACTTTTATTTGTTTTTCTTACCAGCTTTTCATATTTACAACTCTTTTTAGAATTTACAAACCTCAAGATTACCAACTTTTCTCAACTTTTTTTTGAGTTAGTTACCAACGATTATTTGAATTTTTTTACAATTCTCTAATCTATGACAAAATAAATCCTCTTATCTTAACCAATTTTTATTTACATTTCTTATCAATGTCACCAGTTTACCAACCATCATAGGAAAAAACAAATTTTTATGGTGTAACTGACCAACTTTTCTGCAATTGAGTTACCAATTAGTTTTGGATTCTAACTTAAAGTTAATAATAAGAGATGGTAAATGTAAGATGCGGTTAACAAATATAAATAAAAATCAGCAAATGATAAGAAATTGTGGTAATTAAAAGAAAAAAAAATTGTTAAGTAACTCAAATGGGAGTTGGTAATCCAAAACTAATTTGTAACTTTTGAACAAAAGTCGATAAGTCACTCTAATTAAGGTTTGTAATTAAAAAAAAGAGTTGGTAAATATAAGGCAAAAAATGCAACAAAAAATTTGTCAACAATAAGAGTAGTCGGCAAATTAATGAAAAGAACATATAAATGTTAGTAAGTAACTCAAACAAAAGTTGATAACAAACAATAAATTAAAATTTAATGCGAAAAAGGTCTCAAGTCACCCTGATGTATTTTGGTAATCTCTCCAAAAAATGAATAAATTTAAGAGGTTGCTATCAAAGGCAAATAAAATTATGTTAACTCAATAGATAAGTTGGTAAATTGAAAAAAAGATAACTAGACATTGATAAGTAAATCAAATGAGAGTTGGTAGAAACCAGTTGAAAATTTAATCTAACAAAAGTTGGTAAGCCATGTAACTTAGGTTGGTCATTGCATATAAGCGTTAGTTTAGTCGATATGGTTAGTATGTTATGCAAATAAATTTTTTTAAGTACGTGTAAAAATCGGTACTGAAATTTACCGGGGAGGAGCAAAATCTGTATTTTTTTTTGTATGAAACAATAAAATTCTGCCAAGGAAACGATAGATCAGGTTGTGACATTTACCCACAAAAAGTAGCTAGCGATGGCCCAACAATAAGCGGAGGTCTGGCCAATTTCGAAGGACAAACTATTCTATATACACGAAACTAAACTAAACATAATAAAGACTACTATCGCATGCATAAACAAAACTGTATAAATACACCAAAAATAATATAGAGTCACCTACTGGACAATGGACAATGGCTACATAATTCTGTGGATGCACATTGTATAGGAAAAGTACCAGAAAAGTCCTAAGCCTGTTGCATTGATACTAATTTAGTCTTAAACCTTTCAATTGGATCAATTTAGTCATAAAACTTTTCATATTGGTACTAATTATGTCTATCCGGTCAATTTAGGCTGAAAATTGTTGACATTGACGTCGGCCGTCCTACGTAGTACGACCAGCGCTGACCTGAACATTTTTTTTTTCATTTTTAAACACTTTTTTCGAATTTTTTATTAATTTTTTCTTTTCTTTTTTTCTTTCCTTTCTTTTTTTTCTTTTTTCCTTATTACCCTCTGCCAGTCACCGGCCCCTGGTGAAGGCAAGGGCCGGGACGCCCTTGCTAACCTTTGGTGAGGGGCGGCCTTGCTTAACCCTCGCCAGAGGCCGACGAGGCCCCTTGCCAGATTCTACAAGGGCATCCCGACCCTCACCCTCACAAGTAGTCGGTGACCTCTGCCTGTTGCCAACTAGTGGAGGGTAATAAGGAAAAAAGAAAAAAAGAGAAAGGAAAGAAAGAAAAAAAGAGAAAAAGGAAAAGAGAAGAAAAAGAAAATAATAAAAATTCGAAAAATATTTAAAAGCTAAAAAAAAAAATGTTCACGTCAGCATCAGTTGTGCCAAGTTAGATTGCCAATGTCCACGTCAGCAATTTTCGGCTTGAATTAATCAGATGGACTGAATTGGTACTAATGTGACAAGACTTATGACTAAATTGGTCCAATTCAAAGGTTTAAAACTAAATTGGAACAAATACAATAGGTCTCGGACTTTTTCGGTACTTTTTCCCATTTAAAAATGAACTCTATTTGATCGGTCAATAAATACGTATACCTATCACTATTTGAATATTTCTTATTTAACCAACTCCTTTGCTCTTATTTAATGGATAGTTTTGCTTGAAAGGACATTAGGCAAATGCAATGGAAAATATTACTAGGTTGGTGTGGATTTGTTATTTACTGATTATTGGCCCAAGAAAGTTCACTCTCAATCGATGACGATATGTTTTATCCTTGACATGATAGATTATCGTGGCGCGTTTATTTGTAATTGGGTCATTTTTCCATTTCGAGTAGCATGCGTAGAAGCTTTTGAGACGGACGATTACCACTCTTGAGTACAAATCACACTATATTATCTATCCATTGGATCGCATCACATGTCATGTGTCGCTTTTTATGTACTCTGCACATTTGTCCATGATTTTCGCCGAAATATTTACTAATATACCCAATGCTTCCTTCCCTAAGGATTAAAGCGCACTAATCTGAGGAAGGTAAGTAACGATTTATTCTTCATTCGTTCTACAATAAACACAATAACAGTGACAGTATTAACAGAATCATCACCAACAACTCGGACAAAGTACCCATGACTGCATAGTTTAGACGCATCAAAGTACCATATAGGGCACGCTAGTTAACGAGAAAAGGAGCACATTAAGGGCACTTGGGCTGTCCCTTGGAGTTCTTCATGTCTCGGTAACACGGGCACTCGTCCTTGTGGCCGTATGTCCCCGACGGGACGCACTGACATTTCTCGCAGCAAATCCCGCAGTACTCCAAGCACCGGTCCATCCTTCCTGCCTTCGAGCACCTCCCCGCGCACTTGGAGTCGCAAAAGCCTTTGAAACACACAAGACCAACACAAAGCGTACTTGCAACGTATCAGAATATCAACTAGACCATCTTAAAGAGACTAATGAAACGCCCACGAGGGATTGAGTCAAAGAGAGCTTTACTTGAACCGGCCATGGTGCCGTCGAAGAAGGAGGAGCTGAGGAGAAGAGCCACCAGAAGAAAAGTTGCGAAAGCAACGTTCTTCATCTTCCCAAATGTATTGCTATTAGAAGAATGGCGTGTATATACGTATCTGTAAGATCAGAGAGCCAAACAGAGGGCAATTGGCAAAAGAGGAGATAGAAGAGTCTTGTGGTTGATGTGTTGCGAGGTGGTAATGCAATGGGCGAGAGGGGGGTATATATACAAGGAGAGATTCGGCGTGTAGGGGGAATAATGCCTGCAAAGCATCGAAAACGATGTGTTCCACGTCAGAATCATCGTTACGAGACACTCAGGTAGAAACAATACTCAATAGACAAGCGGTGGATCCTAGATAAGGTTAATCCTCGTGTGGGTATTATGCCAGAGCTCTGGCTTTGTTTAATGATCTTATCATATGGAATAGACGAAGCCTACATGATAATCTCGCGAGAGGTGTGTACTAGGTTGTTTTTGGCGAAGGTGAAAGGTGACAGAAAGCCTGCGCTCTCGGCGTTGGAATCGCTCGTTTGCTGTTAAGGTGGTAAAAAGGAATAAAGAAAGGAAGAAAGAAAGAAAGCCAGAGAATCGTGAACGACCTACCTAACTTGTTACTGAGTGCACTTGCCATCTCGAGAGAATTCTTAAAGGAATGTTTTGACTTTCCGAACACGTGGAGCCTGGCGATTCGTCCATCTCGGGGAGTTCTCGTCTGTCGAAAAGCACCGATTCTTCCGAGCGTCGATTCCCGAAGCCATTTCTTGAAAGCTAACAAGTTACAAGTTGGTCATCATCGTCATCATGCAGCGAACGATTTGAAGGTTACGGGAAGCTTCTTGACCGTCGTTTACGTAGCTTCTTGCTTTAGTTTATTGTTGCTTTTACCCTAATAATGTAACCCTTCTCTTCTGCTCTTCTTTTTCCTTTTATCATGGATTTAGAAAAGCTGGTAATGTGAGGAAAAAGAAAATTAGGGAAGCGTCACCAGCTCCCGAGTCCTATCTGGTTTTGCTTTGATTTGTCTTATGAATGATCATGAAAGTGAGTTTGACTTGTACCAAACCCTAAATAAAATGACTTTAGTTTCCTAATGCGTACTTACAAGGTAGCATTGGTTGATAAAATAATCATCGAAAAGATTACTATAAAAAAAAATGGGGGTTCCTTAATGTGACATATTGTATTGCTTGGCTTGCATAGAAGACGTACGTACATACTCACCTTCTTCCCTATTGAGGCTCGCATTTCTTGGCTTAAAAGCATATCCCACCAGAATAACACCCATGGAGACAAGAAAAATTGCCGGCCGCTTTCAAAGTCGCCCACCGTGTTAAAAGGGAGATCTTCTGTGAGCCCCTAGGAATAAAATCGCAAAACCAGTAGTCCAGCTGGAGGAACCACTATTTGCTAGATGGGCTTGACACCAATTATGGAAATAATGCTATTACTATCATCAAATTAGGAAGACTATCCATCCCCAGGAGGATGGGGGGGTCTGTACTGCCCTACAAATTGACTGGCTATACGCCAGCCAAGCACTCGTTGTCTTTCGGCTGCATAGTCGATGTGTTGGGAACGTCGAGATGGCCTTGAAGTTTGGCAGGTTGAGAGGAAATGGAACGCTACTTTAATTTAACTTTTTGCGTGGGGTTATGAGAATATGTGCGTGAGAATGGTCGGCCCCGTCACTTGCCGATTCTGACTATGGCAATGTCATTCGACTTTAGTGGACGATTCTGCCACTTTGAAGAGGAAACGGGTCGAATCACCTACAGCTGTTGTGAACGTTTCCTTGGAAAGGAAGCTCTCAGCTATGATAATGGGTCTTTTGATCTGGTTCTTACCTCCAATTGCATGGTCTCTCTCTCTCTTCATGATGGCCACTAGGTAAGAACTGCAACTTTCTTGGGTGCATTATTCTCTTGGCATCTTTCGTGGGGCAATTTAGAGTTTAGATAGGTTTTATTTCGGCTACCCCAAGTTATAAAGAACAGTACCTACAACATGTGATCTGTCAGAGAGAAAAATACTTGAACCAAGAAAACCATCTTTTAAATCAAAATTTTCGGAGTCCTTGTTTCTATACTCATTTCTGTGCTTGCCCGTGAACTTGTTTTGATTTCACGTCCTGAAATCTTCTTTCCCTCGGGAGGATGGGTTAGGCCAAGCCCATAATTGGCAGCCCAATCTAATTCCAAAAGCACAATATGTCCTACTCGTTTACGATGGGCTTGACACAACATCCCCCTTCGTATTTCCCACATAGGTCTAGCAAAAGTACTCTGCAATCAAGAATCACAACTATCATCATCCTCTAGGAAACATGGGTTTTACTCCGGGTATGTATGCGAGAGAGATACTGACTCGAGGAAGAAGATGGGCGAGGGAAGGGGGCAATGGCCAGTAGGTGAAGAAGGGAAGCTTATGCTCTCGAATAGTTTTTTCTTTGTCCCTAAGTATCATGAATCCATGATAGACAAATCTTGACCCGGCCAATACGAGGATGGTCATCACGTTCTTTCTTCGTCAGCTAAGACCTCATGTAGAGTTTCAATCAATGCAAGTCCTGTTGCCTGTGCTCCAACATGGGGTGGACCCTCAACTGCACCCTACCCTTCTCTTCATCTGTTGGGGGCATCAAATTCAACCAAAGTAGACCACGATTAACACGCGTGGAAGCGTTAAATTTGCCCTTTTTGCACCCCGTCGAGGTACTTCTTGGCGATGGATGATGGTGGAAAACATGGGTCTTTTAACCCTTCTCAGACCTTCCTGCCTTAGGATTTGATGAGATCGTCTGCCCGTGGATGAATAAACTGCACTGGTTCTCTTGGTGGCTTTCATTATCGTGAATGTCGATGACGTGACGGGGTGTCCACAGTCCATCTCTCGACCTTGCCGCTTTGATAGGATTTTGACCATTTAGGGATTGTTTAAAAGACGTTGGATCGGGTTTGGTTTATATAATTCGTTAGATAAAGTGAGACTTATGTGATATGTGAATTACATGTTAGATAAGGTGAGACTCACGTGATATGTGAATTACAGTGAATTTAGGTAATACATGCTCGGGTTCAAGATGCGATTGAGGAGAGCACCTCAAGCATAATTCCGAGAGTTGCCTTTTAACATTTAGGCTCTGTTTCTTGACATTTCTAGAAAATATTATCTAGAAAGTCATTTTTCAGGAAAATGATAATATTTTTTTGTATTTGGCTGAAATCTAAAAATGAACTAGAAAATATTTTTCGCTATTTGATATGAAAAATATGATTTGACTTTCCTATGGAAAATTACCAAAAAGTTATATTTTTTTAATTATTTATTTTCTTATTTCCTCTCCTTCTTTTTCCTTTTTTTTTCTTTTCCTTTTTTGTCCTCTTTCTTCCTTAGCCGGTGTCCAACCACAGGCTAGGGATGGCCTCACCTAAGGCTCACGCTCGCCGGATTTTCAGCAAGCCTTGCCTCGCCAAATCTGGCGAGGTCGAGCTCGACCGAGGCCAACTAGCTTCGAGCTTTGCCAGAGTTTGGCTAGGTCAAGCTCGCCACAACTTGCTAGCCGAACCTCGATGGAATTAGGCTCGGGTGCTAGGGCATCGGGCACGAGCATCATGGCTTCGGGCCTAGCATCGATGGACCCGGGCGTGGGCGCCAGGGCAGCGGCCTGAGCACCAGGGTCCCAAGCTTGGCCTCATGGAAACCTAGTCCTAAATGCTAGGGACTCGAGAACCTGCGCATAGGCTTCTATTCGAGTTCAAGCGCTGATATCTAGTAATATTTTGAAAAATGTTTTTCGATTTTTCAAAGAGAAAATCATTTTCCTAAATTTAAGCATACATTTTCTGTTGAGGTATATCATTTGGCCCTTTTTTTCCTTTCTCTTCCTTTACGAAACAGTTATTGGTTGATTTTTTTTTTTCATTTTATTTGGTTGCGAAGTAACATTATTTACCATGAAATTTCTTCTCCATCGAATGGTCTCCAACGCTGCCGCACGATGTTATTAAAGCCCATATCTTAGGCTATGTCGACAGCGATGGTACGAGTGCAGGCGCAGACAAATCGCTTTCGCCCTAACTGGCGCAAGACATGCTTTCATCTGAATGCACGACGACATTAACACTACCACGTCTTTTAACTTGAAAAAACACCGGAATTTCCAATGGATTTCCACGAGCATTGCCGATGTTTCAAGGCTTGAACACTTTTGCGTAAAGCCTAGATCAGAGCAGGTTTCCGAATTTCGCGTTCTCCAATGGCTCGTACTCGGATTCTTTCCCTCACCACCACCTATAAAAGCTGCCCAAACTTGGGAACTGCGCAACAAGTAGCCATCACTTCCATTTTCAATCGGGAGATTTTCAGCCAACCACGTCGCGTCGGGGACGCATCTTTTTACCAATGGGAATGCCCCTTTTCCAAAGCAACTTGTTTTTTATCTTTCCGAAAGTGAATGGGGGGTAAATCCCGTGCACGATTCCACTTCACGTTACGCGTCGAATTGATCGATCGCGCATCGATTCAGATTAGTGCGTCGAAAGCGTCAATATTTTCATTACAGAGCGTCGTCATCATCATCAGATGCCGTTGTTTATTCTCCCATTAATAGCAATGAATGCCAACTCCAACAACAATCAATGACAATCCCATTTTGCCTCCCCTTCCCTTCATCCACCCCCACCACTTTCCTCTGCCGCGTGCTTGCTCGCCCCTCGTTCGCATGCTGATCCTTTAGCCACGATCCCATTATTCCACCTCCCCTTCCAGCATGGAGCCTATCTTACAATGATTATCACCTAAATCAAAATACTATTAGTTCAAACTTTTAACATACCGACTTCTTTCGTGATGATATATTTGAGATTGCTCCAAACGTACGTTGAGGTTGTCCTGCATCAGTTGTGAAAGAGATTGGTAGTCGGTTTATAAGTGTGAGGGAAAACTTTACCCTTTGAATTAACTTTTGAAATGAGAGAAGCTCAAAACCGTCCAACACTGGTATTAGAATCTAAGCCCAGCCCCCGATGTGTGAGGAGGAGATTGTTGAGGTTGTGGCCCAGGACCGTCCAACCAAATAGTTCAAATGTGGAGTTATTAAAAAATCAACTATGTGAGCAACATATGAATTGCATTCGGGGCATATAGGCTAGGCGCATTCGATCCCATCGAATCACGTCAGTCGATCATGTGGACTCCGCACGAGATTCACGTAATTTGACGGATCACACGCGTTGAAATTTATTGCTCCCGATGCAAGTAAATATAATTTAATGACGAGAAAATTCACCTTGTACAAAATAACTGGGGGGGCCCTACAAAAAGATATTAAATTTCAAGAAATGAATAGACCCCGCTCATTGTTTTTTTTTCCTTGACAAGGGGACCAAAACTATGATGGGGTCTGTGCATGTGTGTTGTCAAAAGGCAGAAATATGTCCGTTTGCAAAGTCTCGTTTTCTTGTTCTTTCTTCGCTTTGGCTTTCCTTACTTCCACGCTCTTCTTCTTCTTCCCGGCACTAGCCTTCGCGGAGGCGCAGATATTTCCACCTCCCGATTCCCGGACGACGTCTCTCCGTCGCTAGTGCCGAGAGCTCTTGAGTCTCGGGTCGGTGGCAGTTCCGCGGAGAAATGGAGAGGAGGGCGGGGTTCCTCTCGTCCCTCAAGAACGAGGTGGCGCGGAGCCTGTCGCCGGCGAGGTCGCGGCCGAGGGCCAAGAGCCTGTCGCCGCCGCCGAGGGCCGGGAGCGAGTCGCCCGGGTCGCGCTCCCACCGGGGCAGGAGGAGGGGCCGCCGCGTGAAGCGCCCCGAGCCGTCGGTTGCGTGGCGCGCGGAGGCCCTGTCGCCGTTGGAGGAAGGGCCCGACCCGGACGGGGCGGAAGGTGTAGATTCGAGGATGGATGGGAGGTGGGGCCAGTGGATGAAGTGTCAACGTCAGCACTCCATGTCTTCGTCGTCGTCCTCGTCTTCTTCGGGCGGGCGTGATAAGGGGTCGCATCTGAGGTTGTTGCTGGGGGTGCTGGGTGCCCCGCTCGCGCCGGTGCACGTGAATGCCGGCGAACCTTTGCCTCACCTAAGCCTCAAGGACACCCCCATTGTTAGTCCTTCTCTTTCTCTCGTCATGGTACCGAGTTGTACATTTTTGTGGTTGTTTGGTAGTTACTTCTCCTCTGTCTTGCTCCCTTGTTGCTGTGTCCTGTCCAAGTTCTAAGTTTTGTCTTGAAGTAGCTATGCACCTGGCAATACTCGTTGTAGGTGGTGGACTGGAGGATTGGGTTGTTTAAGATACGTTTGTGCTTGTGACTTTCTACTTCGTCTTTAGGTTCATAGCTATAAAGTTCTTTTCCTTTTTGGTTGGATACTAAGAAGCTCTGGTCTAGTTTAATGTGGTCAATGTTCAGAAGGTAAATTAGAAAAGTCTTATTGCACGTTTTCCCTATAGGTTTGAAACTCACAGTGATTACGGCTGCGGAAAGTGGGTGAGACTTCTGAAATTTATTTGATGGAAGTTCTTTGAAACCAAGTGAAATTATGGACTGCATTTCTCGAACCAATTAATAGACACTCTGGCCACCGTTTGGCTCAAATCTTAGCTGCATTAGAAAGGAAAGCCTCTAAATGTGGTTGCTTGCGGTAAATTTGGCAGGAAACTTCATCCGCTCACTACATACTGCAGCAGTATGCGGCAGCATCAGGGGCACAGAAGCTTCACACTGCCATTTATAATGCTTATGCCATGGGGAAATTGAGGATGATAGCTTCCGAGTTTGAAACGGTGAACAAGGCTGCGAGGAGCAAGAATTCCTGCAAAGCCGCGGAGTCGGGTCGGTTTGTACTTTGGCAAATGAACCCGGACATGTGGTATGTGGAGCTTGCTCTTGGTGGTAGCAAAGTTCATGCCGGCTGCAATGGGAAGCTTGTGTGGAGGCACACCCCTTGGCTCGGTCCACATGCTGCAAAAGGGCCTGTTAGACCCTTACGACGAGCACTTCAGGTGAAATTCCATCTTTTTAAATTATGTTGGTTGGACTGTTGCTAAGCCATCATCTTAAAGTTTGTACGTTGAAGCTTCATCTAGTTAGAATTGGCTAATCCTCCTTGCATGCGGCTGGCAAATTCGCTGAGTCCATACTATAGAATTTTGATTCCTAGTTAAGAGGTGTACAAGGGAGCTGGAAGATAAGAAACCAAGACTCAAGCATGAGTTAATGTACGTATGCTCTAGCAAATTTTGTATTGGCTTTTGAAGGCTTTGACAATATTTTGCTATCTTCTTCTTCCAGGGCCTCGACCCAAAAACCACAGCAAGCATGTTTGCACACGCAAGATGTGTAGGGGAGAAGAAAATTAACGGAGAAGATTGTTTTGTCCTCAAGCTTTGTGCAGATCCAACTACTCTAAAAGCCAGGTGTGAAGGGCCAACCGAGATTATACGGCACGTTCTCTTTGGCTATTTCAGCCAGAAAACCGGGCTCCTTGTTCACTTGGAAGACTCGCACTTAACCCGCATACAAAACAACGGAGGCAATGCAGTGTATTGGGAGACCACAATCAACTCGTTTCTTGATGACTACAGGCCTGTCGAGGGGATCATGATCGCACATTCTGGGCGTTCGGTGGCAACACTTTTCAGGTTTGGAGAAACAGCGAGGAGCCAAACTAAGACTCGGATGGAGGAAGCTTGGACGATTGAGGAGGTGGCTTTCAACGTTCCAGGCCTGTCTGTTGACTGCTTCATCCCCCCTGCCGAGCTGAGATTCGCTTCTCTTGACAAATCGTGCGAATTACCTCGTGTTCCTTGGGTGAGGAATGTCGTGCCTGCTGCTCGTGCCAGGGTTGCCAGCCGAGAGAAATCCAGTGAGCTATGAGGGTAACGTACATCGCTTTGTAGGAAGGGAAGTAATAGATGGCGGCGCTCAGTGCTGATTATAGTCATGTACGATAGATTCTGGTAATTGCTGACAAACTTAGAAGGTGAGGCATGGATGTATTTTGGGAGTTTGGCCATTATTATGTACTCCAGTTTCCTTCTAACTGTAAATAGAAGGGTAGTTCATAGCTTTTCGGGAAGACCCAAGGCTTGTTAAACTGGAAAATTTTCCTAGATTACTGTAGTAAACAAGTTGCTGGCTTTGATGTCACGCTACATATCATCGAATCTAGGTACTCACAACTATGGAAACTGATTCTTGCGAATGGCAATGGTGAGTACCTGAGAACCGCATTGACCCATAGATTGCTTTGATGATAAAAAGTGCACATCCCAACCTCTGATGGATCTCCATGTGGCAATCTCGTTCTTTGCTTGCTGTTAGGTTCTGGCTAAATGGCTAGTTCTAGGAACCCTCGAAAAGATTTTTTCACCAAACACACATATCAGATCGAAGGAGATGATTACTGCAGTGGAGTTGATCGACTCCACCATCGCGCAACATGTCATCGAGCTAGTTCCATATTTAGCCCTTTACGAGTCTTCGTTCTAAGGGTCTCAGATGAAATTCTGTCATTGAGACATTGCCAATGCTAGATAGTATCTGCAATAAACACCGCTATAAATACCTATATCCTTCAGATACTTCCTCCCTTATTAACCAAATAAGAGGAAATTCAACTCGACATAACAACCATCTTCTAGTTCTAGCAAGGAACAGCTTTCAGCCACCAAAGAAAAGAAAAAGACAAGTCAGCTCAGAGCACAGCACATAGTGCAGGACTCCATTGATCCCGAGTCCGAATGAGTTCGAGATCAAGCCTAGGATCAGATTTTGTGTAGAAACATCACACGCCATGAGAACCAAGTCATTACAGCAAAATGTATTGTTCAGCGTCATTTATTAAACCTTACTTCGGAACATCGTCGTCCCCGGAACAATACGTCGACAGATACAACCTCAAAAAGGGTACCCAGAAAACAAAGGAACAAATGGGGAATTCACTTCACTACAATACCAACACGATCAATATCACCATCAGCACCAATAGCGAGAGAAAGGGGGCATTTTGATTTCAAGTCAATCTCAAGGCACGATCTTGTAACCCTTCACCTTGTCGATCCAGGACAGGAAGGAGTTCTTGGAGTTCCTGAACCCGAGGAAGCCATGCTCCTTGCTCTTGTTCATGCTGTCCAACGGCGACGGCCCGTCGAACATCAAGTCCACGAACCACCACAGCCCGACCTCCTCCAGCTTGGTCTCCTGCAGCTGGTTCTCCCGCACGATCTCCTCCCACACCCTCTCCTTCCCCTTCATCGCCTCCGTCAGCCTCAGCCGCTTGCCGCCCTCGTCGAACCCGTACTCCTCGATCCCGAACTGCTCCGCCAGCACCTTCCAGAAGTGCTTCCACTTGAACACGTCGCCGTTGCTGCAGTTGAAGGCCTCGTTCCGGGCGTACGGGTCGACCGCCGCCCAAATATGCTGCTCGGCGATGAGGTCGGCGTCGCCCGCCATGGAGTAGCAGTCCCAGGCGTCCTTGGTCCCCGGGAACATGAGCGGGACGCCCTCGTGCTTGCAGATGGCGGCGTAGGCGCAGAGGGAGCCGACGAGGTTCATGAGGCTGTAAGGGGAGAAGCCGAAGATGATCGGCGGGCGGTGGACGGACCACGAGAGGTCGTCCTTCTTCGAGGTCTCCTCGAAGAGGATGTCCTCCAGAGTGTAGTAGAAGTTGGGGACGTCGAGCCGGGGGAGGTCCTCCGTGAACGGCGGGTCGTGGGGGGTAATCTTGCCGAAGGCCTCGAAGGGACCGACGTAGTGCTTGGTCCCCGTCTGGAGGCAGACGTGGCGGAGGTTGGGGGCGTTGGGGACGAGGGCGTGGAGGGCGTTGCGGAGCATGGCGCCGTTGACGCGGCAGTTCTCGAGCTCCGACGAGCGGTTGGCCCAGGTGACGTAGAAGACGTGGGTGACGTCGGTGAGAGGGGAGAGCTTGGCGAGGGCGTCGGACTCGTCGGAGAGGTCGCACTGGATGTACTCGATGGGGTGGTCGGCGTTCCAGGAGGGGCGGGGGCGGCGGGCGACGCCGTAGACCTTCCAGGGGCCGCCGGGGGTGTCGGAGAGCGGGAGGATCTCGGCCAGGCTGTTGCCCACGATCCCGGTGACCCCCAGGATGAGCCCCACGCTCTGGTAGCTCTTGGGTGCCTCCTCCTCATCGATCCTCTTCTGCAAAAGATCAACAAGAAGATCACAACACGAGATCAGAATCCATCGAATTCTCAAATTCAGGTCCCCCATAACATTGTTCATTCAGGGAGCAAAAAGATCTCACCTTTGCAGCGCCAATAGCTCCGGCCCACCACCAACTCATCGTGGCTTCCTTCCCTTCTTCAGATAGACTAATTCGCTAGAGAGAGAGAGAGAGAGAGTGGTTGCTTTGGGGAAGAAGATGATGGGGGAGATGGAAGGGGCGGAGGCTAGTAGATGAAGAAAGGAAGCTACCAGTCGGTCTCGACCCACGCAACCCAAACTGGTTTTTCGATTCGACGGGTGTTGGATTTGAGCCGCTTATTATTATATTCAATCTGTTCTGCTCCGTTCCATGTCGCGTGTGAATTTGGGTCTTGATCCAAATTTGCCACGAGCGACCATTTCCGCCAGCGGCGAAAGCGAAACTGGGGGGGTGACTCGGCTCGGATCAATCCTCCAAATTCATCCTTTCTGGCTGGTCTTTGAATCGTTTTTCAATCTCTCCCCACGAATCAGCGATGAGCAAAAATCTCGAGCCAGCCAATATGACGATGTCATTACGCTCTTTCTCTGTCGGCTAAGAGCCTAAATAAGGTTTAAGCAATCGCAAGTTTCGTTGGGCCGTGGGGACTTGTCAGCCTCGTCAGCTCCAACGCTGTCCACCTCAACTCCGCGCTCCCTTCTTCTCCCCATCTGATGGGGGCATCGGATTAGATTAAGATTGCCCCATGATTAACACGTGGAGGCGGTAAAGTTTGCCCCTTTCTGCACCCTTCCGGCATTGATTGGGCGAACCACGATTGCGGATCAAATGGGTCCTTGTCCTTCTCGACCTTTCTGCTTTAGGAGTCGGTAGAAACCGTTCTAAACGTGGATGAATATGCAGCAGGGTGGCCTTAACCCTTCTCTCGACCTTACTGCTTTGCTAGGATCTTGACCATTCAGGGACGAATGGACTGCATTCGCCGATTCTGAATCACTGCAGAAGTTGGCACAGCTCAAGATTCGTGCGCAACTTTTAGTTGACATTTGAATGGGGTGTTGGGTTCCTCTGTTGACCGATTAACTTGCTCGCGGCCCAATATCTTTGCACAAGTTCTTGGCCCATGAGCCCACAGCATGCGAGCTGGTAACATCGACACCACCACCGCATTGCCGGCGGCGCTCTAACCCCAGCTCGCGTCTAAGCCTTTTCTTCGGCAGTGTTGGAACGAGCGACGATGGTGCTGACGAACTTCAATGGATCTGGGGTTGGATTCGGTACGTACAACTGTAAATTGCCCGAATCTTTATTTTCCGCCCTTTGGTACCATGAAAGCTTATTTTTTTACCAGATGTGCAAAAGTGATCGTCTTTATGAAGTAGGACTGTTTGGAATGTCGTTCGTATTGCTAAGATGTATGAATTTTTTTGTGGGTTTTTTTTCCTCTCAGGGTTCGGAGTCGGGTGCGGGTTCGGTGTCGGATGGGGTTTTGGAGGTCTGCTTCTGAAGTTAATTTTGATGCAACTCAGTTCTTTGATTGGGCTTATTAGTCATGTGTTGAGCTTTTTGTCTTTGGAATTTGGGTTACGCCCAGGAAATGTTGTCTTTTTCTTTTTCTGCAGATAATTTGAATGCTTGAGCTTTCAAAGGTGTTGTATCTTAGATTTGTTTGGGTTACTTTTGTTTTCAAGCGGATGCTCGTGGTGAAGTTATTGCGTCGTGATCAGGTTTCATGCGAAGATGATACTCTTCGATTTGTTAGTTTTGTTTGACGCGGTGGAGATGCAATGCTAGCAATCTGACATACGCCAGGAGTCGGAAGTCATCGAGCTGGCAACTAGTTCCAGAAGAGACTGAACACCTCCTTTGGCCTCCGCAGGACATGATGAAGAAGCTTCCACTGATAATCTGTTGAGCATGTCTTGCTTCCATTATGATCTTTTGCTAGTTATGCATGAAATTGCTTATGAGTGACGAAAAAGTATTGCCTTTCTGTTTAAATTTATGTTGTTATGTGTTCGCACTTTATAATTGACACTACTTGAGGGAAGCAATTGCGGATGTCAAAAATGAGGGAAAACGAAAGCAATAAATTTTATATCTTCCGCATGTGAATTATGTCCTTTTCATCCATAATGGATGGAGAAAGATGATGTGGTGTCAGCTTATTGTATGTTAAATTGTCTTCTTTAAGTCTCATTTTTTTTATTTATTCGTCTGAAAATCAAATTAAGCTCAGGTAGATCACAACCAAATGAACTGGACCTTATCATCGAATGTTGTATCATGTGGATACAGCACTTGAACTACTCTCTCATAGAGCAATCTCATATGGCGATGCTTTATCTGACTGAAAATAACCATAATAACAATTCAGTTCTCGTATTTGCCGGTGAATCAACTCTCGTGGATTGTGATTTGCCTGTTAGGAAGAATAAGAAAAGGAATGCATGGTTATAACTTTGAGTTGAAAAATATTAGTATAATGCAAGCGAGGGCTTTCTTTCTGCTATGTTATGCCCAACACTATTGGTTTTCATTGTTCTGTTTTGAAATTGTGGACCTTCTGTTTTCTAATTCTGCTTCATTGGAGATGCTTAGCAATATCTGCCATGCTTCACTTTTATAGGTTTTGTGCTAAAATTCACTTGGACTACATGACATGAATTGCTGATGTATCTTAGAGATAGAGGGTGTCTGAGCTTTCATTTCGGATATGATGTAGGTGTGCAAATGATAGTTGTGTAGGTGCGATGAAGACATCTCTAACATTGTTATAAACATTGATTGATGCAGGCATGCCATTAAACTTCCTGGGCCTTGGTGCAGGTAAATCTTAGGAAAACCCACAAGTGGAGTATTGTGCTTTTTATTAATTGCTATTGTCAAGCTAATTATGTTGGCCTCTTATTTGCATGCCCGTTCGTAGGTGGAGGCTGTGGTGTCGGATTAGGCCTCGGATGGGGATTTGGCACGGCCTTTGGAAGTCAGTATAGGTCATCCACAGTAACATTCCAAGGCATTGAATTCTCAGGCAAGGATCAAGGTGCAGATAAGGAGTTCAAAGATCTAACCAAGTAGTTGTGGAGTTCGTGCTTTGGAGTAACTTCCCATTTCTGCTCTTTTCACATGCTATGCCTGTGTCCCAGTAATCTAGAAGATGCAAAATCCCATCAGAAGCGCTCTTTACCCTCATACAGGACGCTACTGTGTATGAATCTGGGTAGTTTGTGCAACTGATTGAGCTCTTTGGTTCTCCATTTTAATGATACAGAAGGCTGATAACTCTGTTTCTGTGTGGTCTTTCATTTCTAATCTGGGAAGTTCATCGTAAGCGAGAATGTAAACATTATAGGGATGGTTTTGCATGGTTTCAGTGAACTGAAAAGCATCTTTGCGGGATGTCGAATTATTGGAAGCTCATCGTACTACAACTTTCCACATAGGATCGGTGAATGGACCTTATCCCCGCCGAGAGATTGTCTTTCCCCATCCTCACCCTGATAAAGGTTAGGCAGTGCAACGGATGGTTAATGAGTTACGAGTGCCTAAGTTAACAAATAGAAGAGTCGTTCACTCATAATGAGAGATTCTGGAAGAAAATCGAGAAGCATTCTAGTGCTGGTTGTGCTTGTCCTGGAATTCTCAGGAAAAAGTGTCAGCGAAAGGCAAGTGGGTCATAATTTTAAGTTCATCCTCTCAGTCCGATCAGGAAATAGCAAATGCATTTTTGGCTACGCTGCAATAGAACACGTTATTTCTTGATGAAAGCGCTATGAAGCACATACTGTTATACTTTCTCTCCTGGTGTATTCTTCGCGATTATTGCGGTCGAATTCTTAGCCATGGAAATTCTTCTAATTATTCTTACTGAAGCGGTTTTCCAATCTCTCCACTGATTCGTTAAGTCACTTTAGTGTCAACTGTTTTACTACTGTGAATGTGGGAACCTTGTTGACTGGTAAGTGCTCAAACCGAAGTACTTATTGATTGCATTCGTGACTTGTGAATTCGTGAATAAGCCGGGGGGGAAATCGCAGAGGTAATGGATATATCAACTTCGCGTGATGTATAGAGAAAGGTGCCCAATCATTGCATAGAATTGCTATTGAAGCACGACCACCATTCGCCGGTTTTCATCACGTTATGGTCAACTTATATTCCCGTGGAAAAGAAATCTAAATATGAGGACAAGGTCCCCAGGACAGATGGGAGCTTCGTTCTCGGAGAAACCAATTGTAGTTGTAGTGTCTCTATTGCCATCAAGATTCACTCGACGGGAAACATCAATGCGAGATCGTTGCAGTTAAGGAAGCAGATACGCATTTATTATCTCCGTTAAAAATTATCGGGAACGATAGTAGCTTCAATGTTTGGATGATCGGTAAACCAAATGAGTATAGTCTGAAGTGATCCGAAGATCGGCTATAAAAGACTGCGAATCATTCCTTGTGTTTCAGTGTCTGGATTCACCGCACACAGAATTTGGCAAAAGCAGGTTTGATGTGTTGTGGCACAAACTTTGTTTATAAGTTGTTCAGATTTTAGCCGTTCTTCTGGATTATTTCTTGCTTCTTTGATGACTCGTCAAACTATGATTTTGTCTGCAAAATTTTCATTGGCTTCGATCACTCTTAACACTCAAGCTTGTTGCAGATTGTGATTGATAGGGGACTGCTGTGTTAAATTGCGTTTGCTTCATTTTCTCATATTTTGCTGCAAAATGTTCATACCTCTGCACTTCACCACCATGCTCTTGTTTCAATAGTTAATTAACCACAAGGAGAAAAGTGCGATTAACATATTATTAACGGATTCTCTTGATAATCATTCTTTTACTATCACGTGTTTCTTGTCATATAGTGCACCCGCATCCCGATCCGTTCATTTGAAGACGTTGTCATTGATCTGCAGATGTGTCACTAGGGCGCCACTAATACCTGCTAAAGAAATTATTGAGACATTAATTCCGACAATGTTGTCCAACTTACAAAACGAGGCAGCTACTTCCTTCTCACCAAACATTCACGTGCCAACTACCGCCCACGAAAGTCTTACAAAATACCCCGAGCTTCCTCGTTTAGGTGCAATATCTCTAGCTTTGAACTCGTATCTCTCTCCAGGAGTTGGGAGTCATAGGAGATGGCTGAGAAAAGAGTCTTCACTCTCTCCCAAGTCGCCCAGCACAAGTCCAGGAAGGATTGCTGGTTCGTCATCAACGGCCGGGTAATTTCTGTCGTATTTCATCAAATCCCCATCCATTAGATTCCTCCGCCACGATCCCCCTTTTTCTTATTTTTAATGTCTCTATGAATGAAAATTGGAAAAACTTTGTAGAACAGCTCTAGACATTGAGCCAAAAACATGATTTGGGCTGAAAGAGATTCGGAATTATTTTACCAAGCACCAAAATTCCCGGTTTGCTTTTCGAAAAGTATCGCAGACTCATCCTATATGAATTCCATGTGTTCATCTTTCAACAGGTGCTTAACGTGACAAGCTTCTTGGAGGAACACCCAGGGGGAGAGGAGGTGTTGTTGGAGTTAGCAGGGAAAGATGCGAGCAAGGCTTTTGAAGACATTGGCCACAGCAAAGCAGCTCAGACCCTGCTCTTGAAGTACCAGGTGGGTGTTCTCGAAGGCCACACTGTCCAGGACCAGGATGCTGACAAGTATGCTGCTCCAAAAGAGGCCAAAAAGGAGGGCATGAGCGCTTTCGTCGTGAAAGATGCCCCGGTTCACAAGTTTGCAGCCGTCATCGAGCTCGTTGTCCCTCTCCTGGTCGCCGGCTCCTACTTCGCCTACAGATACACCACCGCCGTCGCCAGCCACATGTGATTCCAGGACCAGTTTTAATTTGTCCCAGATTCTCAGTCCGACTCTGAACTCTTGTATCATGTTACTTTTCAGAATAAAAGCCGTTTAAACCCAAAAAGTGATGGGAGTTCAAAGCCTAACTATAATATCGTGTAAATATCAGGGAAAATCTGGGAAATGGAGTTTCTCCTATGAGCGGACTAAAGTTGCCTTAAAAGCTGGCGGATCAAATGCTTCATGCATCTTGAATGGAAGTTCCTAAGGACCTAGCGCTGGAAAGGGTCTGGATTAATCGGGTGCTTGACCTGTCCGAATCATAATAGGTTTAGTTTGGGATTTTAGACGATCCGACGTAGAGAGCCCCTTGCCTGGGCACGGATATATCTACTACATCCTTAATTCAGATAACACACGAGCTCATGTCGATGTATGAAGAGCATGAAATATACAGATAAAATTTGATCTCATTCACCAAAGTCCGGTGGAATCAGAAAAAGGTGGACTCAGTACCACGATCCATGACATTTCCAATCATTTCCAATCCTCACAAAATGTCCACCCACGCCAAGAAAAAAGGAACAGTGCAGCGGTAATGGGAAAACCAAGCTTTGGTTGCAGGCATGAACCAAATTACTATTGGACTTTCGTGAGTTCTCAATTTTTGTGTTCCTTTTGCTACATGTTGCTGCTAGTCTTCCGACCCATGTTAACAACCATAGTCCATAGGCAGGCTTTTTCTACAACCGGTTGACTGTAAAATTCCACTCGATTATTAATAGTCCACGTTTGTTGATTAAACCTTCTAATTTTCAGCTTATTTTGAATGCCCAACCTGCTTCCGTTGGACCTGCACCCATCTTGAAACGCATGATGAAGAGAGTCTTCAAGACGACCCCCCCTTGCAACTTCCAGTTTTCATTGTAGGGGGTCAGTCTCTCCTCCGCAATTGCATCCCGCGCTACCCGAGTGAACCGAGAGCAGCGAAATTCAGGCTAAAAGTGGCTAAAATGATAACATTACATTGCTGTACAGATTACAGTGAAAAGACGGCCATACAATCGACCCAGAGAATAAGAAACAACAGGATACACGGTCTCAAGTCAGAGTGCCACAATATCCTGGGATACAACATTTTTCTAATCGTAACATCCTGGTACTCTATTAGAATTTACATTCTCCGTGGCAAAAACTTCAAAAATCTGCAAAGGGTGTCTAATGCGCAATCAAGGACTCGATCCTTGTCAGGTGGGACATAATTATCCACTTGGAAGGAAATGGAAGACCTAAGAAACAAAGTTCTTTGTCTCTTGCTCCCGTGCTGACATAAATAATCCGCAACTCATCCTGACCATTCTAACATGGAAGTTCATGCCGATATAAGGAAACTCAACCATAATTAGGCCTCCACCTTAGATTGCACACAAAGCGAGTAAAACTGCATAGAGCGGAAACAGAAACAGAATTAAGCATCAGAAAGCGTATCAAAATTAATCCACTCAAAAAGTAAAAACCATTACCATGCATAATTAGTGACAAGAGACTATGTCAAGTGAACTCTCTGGTACCCATCAGGTGTCATGTGCCCAGTTCTCAGTTTGCCTAGAATCAGAATATTTGAATGTCTATACTGGCAGGTTTCTTAACAATAGCCCATTTCAACTAACCCTATGAGGAAAATAGACCAATCGGCCTCATAACTAAAATCGGAATTGATCTGCAGACATTCAACATGATATGAATTTCCCATGCTCAACTATGAGATATTTCACATGCACTCATATTCATCAGTATAAAATCAGAAGAAATAATCTGCATGACTTCACTAACATATTTGCTTTATTAAGTAACACCCTTGAAGGAAATTGTTTTTGTAATCTGAAAACTAAAACTAACCGAGTCGAGCACATTTTTCCAACAAGAGAAGAAAATTCAAAATCAATCATTTCATTGCCAATTTTCTGTACTTATTGTACCCTTCTTCCTTTTCTCGTTCACATTCATCATGTCTCAGAACTGAGAAAGATAAATAAAATAACTAATAATACAACACAATGCACTCCCCTTCGTCCCAACACGCAAACAAACTCAAGGAAAAAAAGCAGAAAGAATAACCTTAAAAAAAGAGGATATGCCTTTAGTAAAATTGTCAGGCAAGAACTAAAATGTGTAAGAAAGTGTTCGATCAAAGTAATCGGGGAAATACACAACAGCATATTAACCTGATCATATTGACAGAATAGAAGGTATTGCAGCGTAGCATTTAATAGTAGAACACATCAATGGACGGCCTATGTGCCCTTTGACCAAGCCTGCCTGTGCTTAAATATCGTTAAATTTTCTATTTACAGTTGATCAGGATGGGCAGGCAGGGAACAAGGAATTTGTTTGCCCAAATCCACCCATATTGCCTGAGTTGGGCCTTGGCAGGCACAGTGGCTGCCCACCCATTGATCAGTCTATTTGACGGACAATTCTGGTGATTTCTCTCCTACATGGTTCATTTTTTTTTTCAAACGCTAAGCTTCAAAGTTTAACATGCTATAACAAGAATAAAAGAACTCCACTACAGTGAATATAAAGTATATCCGTGAAGTTTCTAATCATAGCAACAGTTTCTATTATTATATCATAAGATCCTAGAGTAGTATAAGGTTGAGTCCTCTAATCAATAAGGTCGCAAATAAGAGCTGTTTTCAGAGTTCTAAAGAAACTACGAACAATGCTATGTATACTGAGACTTGTATACAAATTTATTTGATGTGCCAAATATTGGGTGAATATTAAAATATGGCCCACTTCTTTAAAGGTCCAGTGACAATCTACCACATCACTTGGTATATTAATTAAGTAGACCAGTCTAAGCATACCTAGCATTATTGAAAAACAATATGCAACAGATTGCACTTCATAACTTATAAATCAATCCAAATATGCTCTCAAACTGCTTCTGTGATATGACTTTGTTTTCGACCAAAAAAAATTACGACTTTGTTTAATGCCTCTTCATCTTTTGAATAATGATCATTCTGAAGCACACACCCGATAAATATGAAAGACTTTGTTTAATAGGAGATGTTGGTCCATCCAAGGTACAAGTATCGCGTTTTTAAGCTTTCCTAAGTTCTTCAATTTGACAAAATAATTAACTAATCTCTTTTTACGCATAGCTTTACAAATAAACATGAAAGTACATGAATATATAAACGTCCAAAGCAAGGGAATTGAAACAAATGGGGTTTTAAATCAATAAGCACAAAGCCAAGCCAAGCCAAACCAAACCGAATCAGAATCAGTTCAGGCAAGCTCGATTTGATTGATGGCTGTAACTCAGTTTGGTTTGGTTCTAGAGAAATCCACACCACATTCTTTTGTTCGAGAGAGTTCCTCCTCCAATTAATTTGTCGAAAACATGCAGTTTTGTGCAAAAGCTCATGGCCTGAGTTCACATTTGAAACGTTTGCAAAGTCCTAACAGGATTGGGACAGAGGTTTCAAAATGATGACAAGAAAACACACTAAAAAATATGACTGGTTGACCAACTAGAATAAATCTGCATGCTCTCTGCCATGAACATACTTTCGAATTTACATGAATGGACCTTAAGAAAACTGCAGTTATCTGGTCAGCCTCAAGGAGGAAAGAAAGTCAAAAATTGTTGTATTAATATCTGATAATCCTCGTGTGAAAGAACTTGACATTAAAGAAAACTGCTGCTATCTGGCCAGAATTAAGCAAAATGAAAACATACACAAAAGAAGCTAAAATTTTATTCACATCAGGCAATTCTCACGTGAAAGAAATTGCATAAAGTGTCCAAACATAAAAAGGATTCATATCGTAGCAACTTCAAGTCATTTCAAGGGGACAAAGCAACTAAATAAACCATTAGACAAATTCAGCAATGAGAGACACAAGTGACCCCAATATATTCAAACCCATAAGCAACATTTTTGTTTGCACCCATAAAGACACAAACGGTAGCTTAGTCATAAAAAGTAACACCAAAATGGGCTTATAGATGAGCCAACTCACCAATCAAGCAGAGAATAAGAATGGCTGAAAAGGCCAATTTTACAGGCCGACTGTATTGCATCTGATACTGAGACCTCTGAAGCTGCCTTTGGATAGCTCCGTACCATCCATAAAGTTGCTTTTCATAACAGTCATCACAGTTATCCAGGCAACTCTTACTCCGTTCATAGCATGCATGTACGCCCTTTGTAGAACAAATACAGGTATTTATTCAGCAATCACACCAGAAATCAATGGATGACAATTATACAACAATGTAATTGCAGAATGTAAACTAGAAACATAGAGAAAAGAGTTCAAAAACTCACTCTCTCTAGCTGAGCCGGTCCCAATAATGCAGTATCATCTTCTTGATGAGAATCCGCTTTCCACTTCCTAAAGCCATTTTTAGACCACTTCAACTTGGAGACAGAGCCCATGGAATTTAGGAACCCTGAAACGCTAGGTACCTTGCGGGGAGGTACCACAGAATGCCCATTGGAGGAACTCTGCGGGTAGGCTTCTCCAGCTATAGCAATTTTCCAAGCACTGATGTCAGCACTCGCACTGGCTGTTCTTCTATGCCCATATGACTTATCCTCCCTGGCATCCATTGAACTCCACTCAGTTGACTGGCATGAATTCTTCGAACACTCAGGCGTGGACTCTTTCTGCGACTCTTTATGGTCTTCATCATCCATAACATGGTCCGACTCAGCGCCTGCCGCATCAAATGCCGATGAACCAGAAAGGAACGATGCAAATTCATTGCGCTCTCGCTCGTCCAAACGCACCCAAGACGGCGCTGGCTCGCCATCTAAGAGCGCTGACTCCTGCAATGAGTTATTAATCTTCGAAATCTGCTCATTGATGGCAACAATGAAATCACGGTGTCTGTCCCTCGAATCATCAGTTGAACTATTGACGTAACTCGACTGCACCGCTCGTTCAAACTCCTCCAGCTGCACCCAAAACCAATTAAGAAGTCCGACATCAGCATTTACATCAATTTTTCTTCCGTCCCTCACTAAACTGCACACAAAACCGGCTTGTCAAAGAGAGAATGACCTGCCAATGGGTAGTGCCTAAAGCAGTATGGAGATCCCGCCGGAGTTCCTCCAGATTCCACGTGACCGAAGCGTCCTTCTTCGCGTGGATCCATGTTCTATACGTCGATTGCATCCTTCAAAACCATATAAACGACGTTCTCAACACAAATTCCAGCACATAAGGATCTCATGAGGACAACCTACGGGCTACGGAATAAAAACCAAAAGCTACCAAACAAAACCCCCACGAAAAACCGAGGCGATCAACAGCATTGCACGAACAACAACGTCCCAAAAAAAAAAACGAAGCCTAGAAATTCCGCACAACTAGGCCGAAACTGGTCCCGCTAAACGCAGCAAATGTAGTTCGTTCAAGCAAAACCAAATCGCAGCCAATCGCGGGGCTCGCAATGGGGATCCGACATCATCGCTATCGTCGAAAACGAACGGGCACGGGGACGCGGGTACCTGTCGGCCGATTCCTGGACTTCCTCGGCGGCGGAGAAGAAAGGATCCTTCTCCCATCGATCGAAACTCGAAGCCATTTCGGGGGAGAAACGCCTCGCCTCGCCTCGATAGCTAACCCGCGACTCCGATTTTCCCCCGAAAAGCAGCAAGACAAATCTCTTCCTCAATGGAGCGAATCAGCAAATCCAGATGTTATTTGGGGGATTTCAAGAGAAAAATAAAGAAATGGGGATCCACAGAAAAAGAGAGAGAGAGAGAAAGGGGGCAATGCATACGATTTCTAAATATACATGTGTATTTAAATTTATTTATTTATTTATTTTTGGTCGAATTTTATATATTTATTTATTTACTTAAATTAACGCGTGAAATGAAAGGCACCACGACCGTGCAGCCACATGATTATTCTACTTGTTCATGCGCTCCCGCTTTTCAACGTAGCAACGTTTTTTTTTTTCTTTTTTTTTCCTTTTTATTCATTTATTTCGTGAGAAACTGGATAGTTTTTGTCCGGAAAAAAAAATTGACTGGATAATTATTAGGCCTGCTGACGTAATAATTCCCTCTTTCCCGACGTTCGTTGTGTTTTTTGGGGCGGGGGAGGGGAGGGGGTCTCCACGCGGACGAGGGACACGACACGCCAGCAAGGGGGCAGCGAGTCAAAGCTGTCCCACTCGGACTCGCGGTCAAACTTCGCCTACGGCGGCCGTCACTGCTCCTCCTCTGGAGCTCGTCCATGAACAGGATGATGGTCAACGTCTGTTTCTGGAATCTGTCCTTTCCGCCATGGTTCCCATTGAATCTAGAAAAATTGGAGGAGTGTTCAGCAATACGTGGGAAACACACTGTCAACACACCAAAATTAATGATAACGATAATAATCCAAGTGTTTGTATCCACGGTCAACGAAGCGAGCATGATCGAAAAAAGGCCCAGTTCAGGTCGACAAGAATGTCGACACCGGGCACTGAAAAATTTGGCTTAGTGTTGAGGCAGAAGAAGGGTCGGTATAGTGTATACCACGAGCCAGTTGACTGGAGCACGGGAGGATGCAACGACTATAGATCAACCGGGCAAATTAGTCTCGAGCGATGGACGAACAAAGGAGGCCCGGGCCTAAGAACTTGTGGTCTAGAGAAGAGAACTAGAGAATCCCGTTAGTTCCGCTGAGAAGAAAGGCGAGGGCAAACAAGTATCTGGATCTCCGAAAAGCGAAATCTAAATTTGATCGGGCTCCGACATTAACATTGTCGGAAGGTTTGGGCCAAATTGCGCCGTGAGTTTAGAGCGACGGCTATAAGTGTCACTTCGACTGAGGAGGAAGATTTGGATGTTGGTGAGAGGGTGAAGGTAGAATTCTAGTTCACCGATGAAGACATAGTAGAATTCGAGAAGTCGTCCTTTTATAAGGCGAAAGACTCTCGATGATGATGTCAATGGCTCCATGGGCAATGGCAATTTTTTTTTACAACAACGACCATACGTGCGTCACACAAAGAGCTACTGTGCGAGAGAAAAAGCGCATTTTTCTTTTCACTTAAATTTAAAGTTAGATTCAACGGTTGGCATTTCAATGGGCGTAAAATATTGGACAATGACATGGCAACCGTGTCACAAATTGCCATCTATGTCAATTGCCATGTAGGATTTCAATGGTGATTATTTTTACAAAATGCTCAACAGATGCTAAAATTGCTCCGCGAGTAAAATGCTGTGCCGTTTCTATAGGCATTGGTAAATTGTAGGGGTGAGCAACTTGGACCGCCCAAACCGGGACCGGACCGGACCGAACCGGACCGGACCGGGTTTGGTCCAGTTCTCAGGACTATCGGTCCGGTTCCCGATTCCTAAAAGCGGAACCGGTTTCTGGGCGGTCCGGTTCCAAGGGGGAACCGGACCTGACCGGACCGGACCGATTATTTAATATATATTTTTGTTATTTTTTTCTTTAAAAAATTTAATAAAATGTGAACTAAACTCTAAGTGAACTTCATTATCATAAATTCATTGATAAAAATTAGTAAAATGTGAATTAAACCCTAAGTGAACTTCATTGACATAAATTCATTGACAAAAATTAGTAAAATGTGAATCAAACCTTAAGTGTTTAACCAAAAAAAAAAACTAAACTCTAAGTGACCGGTTCCATTGAACCGGACCGGCGGTCCAGTCCGGCTCCCGGTCCTAGAACTAACCGGTCCGGTCCGCGGTTCCCAAAATTGGGAACCGGTTCTCTCGGTCCGGTTCCTGGTTCCACCTTGAAACCGGACCGGATCGGGAACCGATCATCCCTAATAAATTGTAAGGTCGCATAAGGAGCGTCCCCAGCATAAGAGGCTCCGTTCTTTTTAGCGTAAGAAATTTTGTTGTGTTTTTTGCTCGTATCTAGCCTATATAGAAATATGACTGTAATGAAATAAAATAGATAATACTTATGTATGGTAAAATGTAGGAATGGAAAATGATGACTTTTTACTTGTACGTGACAAAAAAATATTGTTCGCATGGAATGAGGTTAACATTCAAGAAATACATGTAAAACTATTAGATTTTTAATAAATGAAAATTCATAATAATCACAAACGAAGTTATTATCATAAAATCCAGTATGTTAATAAGTAAGTTATAATGATATTTTATTCAAAAAATTATGAAGAATAATATTATATACGATTGTGCTAATAAATTGATTTTCGAATTTGATGTCCATTATTAATATAACACATATTTGTAATTAATCGTTTTACCTCCATAATTTATTTGTATGGCTAATATGATAAATTCAACTCAACTCCCATGGTTTAATTAATTATAACTCACTATAAATTTACGATTGCAAACAAATTAATTTATATTTTTTGTTTGCTATGGGCATTCCAAAAAGAAAAGGCCACTTAAACAAGGGAAAACGAAAAGAAAAGAAAAAAAAAGAAAAAAAAAACAAGGGAAAACGTTATATGGCATCCTATAAAATAAACCAAACACGACACACCTATCAATTAATTACATTTTTTTTAATTAATTACGATTTGAAATGATGCATGATGCACTACTACTATATGATCACTAATTAGTAGATTGTATTATAATAAATTACGATTTGATAACATAAAAAGGTATTACACAAGAAGAGGATAAAAGTAACTTGGAAATCGGCGAACGCTTGCCGAAGTGAAGAGGAGTATTCTGCTTCACGGCGTCGAGCTCGGCGGCGGCGGCGCGGCAATGGACGAGGCGGAGCAGCTCTGCGAGGCGGCGAGGAACGGCGACATCGGAAGGCTCGAGTCCCTAATCAGCGCCGGGGCCGACGTCTCTCACTTCGACGCCGACGGTCTCACCCCGCTGATGCACGCGGCCAAGTCGGGCCGCGCCGACGCGGCGAAGGCGCTCCTCGAGGCCGGTGCGCCCTGGAACGCCCTCTCGCCTTCCAATCTCTCCGCCGGCGACTTCGCCATGGAGTCGGGTCATCAGGAAGCCTTCGAGCTTCTCCTCAACGCCGGTACGTGCGCATCTGCAGTTCTGCTTCGGTTGTCATTTGTCCTTGGTGATGGCCAGCGATGAGCTTCGTATGTGCTGGTGATGCTTGCTTGATTCTGCACATAACTTGCGGTTCGGATGTTTAATTCTAGTTCTTTTATGAGGAAAAGGAAGAATTGTTTTGGGAGAGATAGGCTTTTTAGGATTCACCTTGGGCCCATGATAGGTTAGATTTGTGGAAGATAATGCTCTTGGATTATTGCTTAACAGCATGATTAAACATCTCATACTCATAATGGTGTGTCTATCTTGGCCAACAAGGAAAATGTAAGGTAATTGAAGGGATCGCTTTTAGGTTCTAAAACCTCGCTGACGCAGAGTTTGATGAGTGACAGACGAATTGATGCTGCAATCGGTAATGATCAAAGAATTGATGCATTTTCAGTTTATTCGCTGACTCAAGCATGTGGGTGTTGTGGGCTCTGCTTCCTTCTCCCTCTTTGATCCATTCGTGGTGTCGGGCTTCTTCTTTTGCGCTTTGGCCTGCGTCTAAATTTGTGCTGTGCTGATGTGTTGAGGTAGAACTTGACTCAAGCTAACGTTGCAAAATGACAGTTAAACAAGGATCAAACCAATGAATCTTCCAATAGGATTATCAGAATGACTAATCAAAGTAGAATTGGACAAAGGGATGCTATGCTTCCTCCTGAAAAGCTAGTTGAAGCCTCAATCGGGATGCCGAAAGTTCTGTCTGTCTGGTTTCCGTGCAAGCGACCTCTTAGACGCCTTTTAGTCAAGACAGGCAAGAGTGGACCTTCCTGCTTAGTATAGTATAAGAACCAACAATACATTGCCGCCTCTGATTCCCATCAAGACACCTTTTAGTCAGGACAGGCAACAGTGGACCTTCCTGCTAAGTATAGTACAAGAACCAACAATACATTGTCCCTCTGAATCCCACCATAGACACCTTTTAGTCAGGACAGGCAAGAGATGACCTTCCTGCTAAGTATAGTACAAGAACCACCAATACATTGCTGCCTCTGATTCTCTGTGAGTCCATGTAAATTGATTTACTTTAATGTATCTTTTTATTACAGCTTGATAAATGAATACAGCACACTGTAGCTTCCACAAGACCCATCTCAACCATGGCCACACACAAGGAATATGTAACGGAAGATTAGTAATAGAGTCACCTTGCTATTTTGTCTGTCGTTTAATGATTTGCATAAGCTAGTGAGAACTTTCTTTTAATTTGAAGTTTTGTACATGATGAGATGCTTCCCTTTGCTTTGGCCAAGACTATTGATTATGAAGTTTCTTAGCAGTTTTTATGGTAAAGCCAAATTTACTTATCCTGGAACTCATTGTCTCAAATACTTCCGCATAACCTACCGAAATCTGGATACTTAACATTACTTATTGGTGTGATTCAAGGACCACAGAAATGATTTACAGGTTAGGTATGTGCATAGTTTCAGTCCAGTTAAGGGACGTTTGTTGTTCTCATCGTGGACTTTGACCAACGATATTCTATGCAACAGGAATTCAAGCGGAGCTGATTCTGGGGACAATTGCAAGGAAAAGTAAAGCCGGTGACTGTCATGGGGATTACTTGGATGACAGGGTCAATTTTAGTGAGGATAAGCTGATGGACACAAATAGCAAAGCTGTCATGATGGCTTGGGAAAAGCCATTGATGGAGGCTCATGCCAAAGCCATTTGTTCACAGGGTGGTCACATACTGAACATCGGATTTGGAATGGGTCTTGTCGATACAGCCATTCGGCAATATGCTCCTGCTACACACACTATAGTAGAGGCTCACCCTGATGTTTTTAAACGAATGCTTGACACTGGTTGGGGTGATAAGGACAATGTAAGGATAATATTTGGTCGTTGGCAAGATGTTCTTTGTCAACTTGGATCTTATGATGGTAAGAGAAACTTCATTTCCCATCTAACTAGAATATTAGCATCCATAGCTAAGTGTTGCATGACGTTTCATCTGTGATTTTTTTCCTCAATCCTTCTACTTTTGCACAGAGATTCAAAATTTGGTGTACTTTAAAATTTCCAAGACACACCGTTTTCTATGTTTCATGGCTTTATATGACATTTCTTGACCAGCTCTTATGTCATCAGAAAATCAGTTTTTTGTCTGGTCTTGTGCCAAGCTCGTAATAATGTTTCTGAAAGAATAAACTCTAACATCAGTGAAATTCCAACAAGGCCTCTATATTCTTATTTAACGAAATTTCTGCAAAAGAAAGCTTGTGGACCTCCTTTCTGTATAATGGTTTTAGTGTATTAGAATTGGATAAGACAATGTTTATGAGATTTCTTGTATGTTTATTAAAACTATACCGGTCAATTGGGATTGCAGCTAGAGTTGTTTTTTGCTTGAGTCCAATTTTTATTTTTTTCCTGCTTATCCTCTTTGAAGTATGCATTTTCCATTTATCAATTACTTGGCTACAATGGTCTATCTCCTCATGCAGACAGAATTCATTGGAGAAACTACAACCTAGTACACCAATCTGATTTCAGGAGAGTGTGCGCATGAGAGTTTGCTTAAAGTCCAGTAGATGCTGCTAGAACTTTTTGGATATAATTGGATCACTTTCAGTTATTCATTTCTACTCAGATGAAATTTTTATGCCACTACAGTCTTGCTTAAGTAATATAATTGATGTTTTCAGGTATATTCTTCGACACGTATGGAGAATATTATGAAGATATGAGGGAGTTCCACCAGCATCTTCCTGTTTTATTGAAACCTGGGGGAATCTACTCATTTTTCAATGGGCTTTGTGGAGATAATGCCTTCTTCCATGTTGTTTATTGCCATTTAGTTTCTCTGGAATTGGAGAATCTGGGCTACTCCACGCAATTAATTCCCTTGCCTGTGAAGGCTTGTCTGGGAGAAGAAGTTTGGGAAGGTGTGAAACAGAAATATTGGCAGCTTGATACGTATTACCTCCCAGTTTGCCAAACTGTGCAAGACGAGGAATGATGTTGTTTACTCTTGACTTAAGCTCTGAAAGCACTGTCTTGAAGGCGCTTAAAATAGCATTTTAAGTTGGCTTTCACTATCTGGATAGGGTTGCAACTTTATAAGCAATTGGTGGAAAGGATGGGTATGTTCTACCATCTATCAAGTATCTTTTGAGGTTTTCCATTCAACCAGTGGTGTTCTTCAGGCTTCATCTTCTTCAGTAGAGATATACAGCAGAATATCATATGTTAGACTCAGAAGAAAAACATAGAATATTGATAGTGAAGCCATGTCCTACTCTTGAAGAGATGGATGTGGTACATTCACAGTTGTTCAATTCAGTAAATCACTATCTATTGCAGTTCACTGAAGCTAGACTAGTGGACACTTTTGAGATTCTTGTTGCAATTAAATTTCAATCTCGGCGTTCAAATGCTTAAGGGTGGAATTTTAGATCCTCTTTGGATTATTTTCTTTTTCTGTGGGATGCTGAGTCCAATGAGAACCTTCTCCTCTTCTTGAGATCCAGTAGCTCTTTCAAGTGTCACCAATATGCAGCATGTAATGATGTGAAATTTGGATAAGATTTGCAAGGCGACATCATTTCTTGTAAAACCATATTCTCCTCTTGGCTCTTAAACGCTTATTTAAAATCTCAACGTGAGAGAATTTGGTCAACATTTTGAGAGGTTGCCTTTAGTGCAAAGTCCCTTCATTCGTTAAAATTGAACACTTTTGATGAATATTTGAGAGGTTGCCTTTAGGCTGCGGTGTGCTGTTGTTTATGAACCTCCAGTGACCTTTTTAAGTTAGTAGTTTGCACCTGCTCAGCTACCCAAATTGCAGAATGAAAGCCTAAGATCAAAAGTGTTCGAGGGTGGCATTTCAGGAAATATTGTATCTTGTTACTAAATGTTTTCCCAAACGGAAACCCAACATCAATAGATTTCTTTTCATTCCATAATTTGTACAAATCCTGCTTGTTTCTTATATTCTATTTAAATTGTGTACCAATGTTATTTTGTTTTACTCATTAAACTATAAAAGAAGTAAATTGTTTCTCGATCCATTATTTTGTGCATCATAAATTAGCACTTAAAATTGATTCTGGTCAAGATTGTGATTCAAGAGAGGTGTCTTAGTATTTCTTCATCCATTTTCATCTACTCAAGGTAGTCTCTGTTATGTTACAACTACAAGTTCTGAGGTTGAAGTGGGGGTCTGCTGATGACTTTGACATTGAGGAGGAAAGAATTGGGGAAGATAGTTTTTATTACCACATGGTATTTCACATTATTGATGCTGCCGGTGCTGTAGATACAATGGATGACAACTAAATGCTTCAATTTCGATTAATGTACTTATAGCAGAAGCATGTCTAGGTTTCAAAGTTTGAAAGGCATCTTAAGTATGCTAGATATTGGAGCGATGGTTTTCTGTACAATTACAGTCTTCCCTTCGCCTACATTTTGATCTCACGAGAAGGGCAGCAATCTAATCTATCCAGCCTTCTATGCATTTGTTTCGACAGAGAAAGCTCATCCACCTGCCCCTTCTCAGAGCTTGATTACAACCGCAGCAACGTGTCTTTAAACAGTGGTTATGTCCAGCTGATAGCAATTGGACTTCCAACACTGTGTTTTCCATCTGACCATTTAAGACTAGCAAAGCTGGTTGTACCAGATGGCATGGAGCCAGCAATGAAGGTGACTGTGTAGCTTTCTTTCTCACCCATGGTACTGAAAGTCAGCGATTCGGGTTCAACCAAGATCTTGACTGATGGGATCTGTGAAGAAACTGACACCTTGTAGGTACCAGGACTACCAACATTTGTTAGAGTCCTTGTATATTTTACAGTGCTTGAAGCACCAGCCCCACCTGCTTTGCTAGAAGCCGTTTCCATGGAAACTGCGAATGATGGGTAGTTAAGATCTTCCACATTATACTTCTTGCTTGAGTCACAGGTGTAGTCTCTGTTTGTGGAGCGCTTGATCAGGTCTGAGGTGTAGTTTAGGGCACAGAAGAAGCGGAGATAGTCATCTACCGTGGCGTCATAGACCAAACCAGGGTCAAGGGCTGCCATTGGATCAACATGTCCGGCTCCATAATCGAAAGGGGTTGATGAACTCCCAGTGGCAACATCTTCAATTGTTTCACCATTTTTGTACTTTGTGTAGGCTGTTGTCATGAGTGCTGATCTGATGGCCGCGGGGCTCCATTCCTGGTGAGCAGCCTTGAGGAGGGCGGCCAACCCACTTACATGTGGGCAAGACATTGACGTGCCTGAGATTATGTTGAAATTCACGCGCCTCTTATCACTGTCCAGGCCAGTTGGGCCCACAGCTCCCGTCCACCCTGCGAGGATGTTCACACCAGGTGCTATGAGGTCTGGTTTGAGAATCTGAGGATTGAGTGGATTAGGACCACGGGAACTGAATGATGCTACAACTGGTGAAGGTTCGACTTCAAGTTCTGTGCCTCCGGAAGCAATGGTTGCTGTTGGACTTGGATCTGAGAAGATATACTTCTTTATCTCAATCCCTGCTTTCTGTCCTACAGCTGCTGAGGGCAAGAGATGTGCATCAGCAACTAGCTCTTCACCATAATACTCCGTGTTGGTAAGAATCATTCCCACCCCGCCCGCGTTCTTCACCACCATACTCTTTTGTGGCCTCGAGTTCCCTCCTCTGTCGCAGACCACTATTTTCCCTGCAACTTTGTTCGCAACCAAGCTACCAGTAAAGCATAATTCACCACTAGAGGAGTTGCTTGCATTACCTGCAAACACCAGTGGAACTGGACCAGATAATGACTTCCCATTGTAAAGTGACACGCCTTCATACTTCTTGCCATTTCCAAGAGTGACGTAGGCCGGAAAATCACGGTCCAAAGTACCGGCTCCTACTGTGGTTATCCAAGGAGCTACGTTCGCCACACTCTCGGAGCTAGGCCCACCGTTCCCGGCGGAGCACGACACAAGGATTCCATGTGCCATTGCATTGAAAGCTCCAATGGAGATGGTATCTCTGTAGTACTCGGTTATGCCTCCCCCAATGGACATGGATATGATGTTTACACCGTCTTCGACGGCCTTGTCCATGGCTGCCATTATGTCTGATCCAAAGCATCCACTTAGCCAACACACTTTATAGGTGGCCACACGGGCTTGTGTGGCCATCCCCCGTGCAGTTCCAGAAGCAAAACCAAAGAGGCTGGCCTCGGGGACGGCCGAACCAGCCACAGTAGTAGAGGTGTGGGTCCCATGCCCATCATCATCTCTGGGTGATTTTGATTCCACGGATTCATCTATCGGTCCAAATGCTGCTTCATACCCTTTAGAGAAGAACCTCGCGCCAACGAGTTTCTTATTGCAGCTCGATGAATTGAAGTTCTTCCCCACCTCGCAGGTACCTTTCCAGGTACTGGGCCGCTCGCCGAGTCCTGCGTCATCATAGCTTTTCAGCTCAGGCCACACACCAGTGTCAAGCACTCCGACAATCACCTCACTCGCCAGGTTGGACTCGGGGTAGACAACTTCGCTCTTTCCCAGTCCAAGAAACTCCGGCGTCCGAGTGGTGTGGAGTTCATATCTCACTTCTGGCATGACCGAAAGAATTCCAGCTTGCTTCCCGAGTAACTCTGCTTCCTCAACCGTGAGCCTCGCGGAGAAGCCGTGGAGCACACTGTTATAGGTGTACAGCATGTCTGCCTCGTCCGATACCGATTTCAGCGAAGAATCATACCATTCAAAATGATCAGCAAATGTCTCGGGCATGTTGGACTTGTCCATGTGGATGATATAGGTGGTTTTAGCTGGTTTCTTGGTACCTTCAGCTACCTCATAGTGGGAGAGAACTAGTAGTGCTAGAGCCACTTTATGCAAAAGCCTAAGCTTCATCTTCTTCAATGAATCTGTTGGTTCAAGCGAAGCTGTCTTCTTTGTGAAGCTTTTGCTCGAGGGAAAAGAAGAGAGGAATGAAATGATGAAATGGCTGGCCTTTTTCTTAGTGGGAGAGAACCGGAAGTGCTGGAGCCACTCTATGCAGAAGCCTAAGCTTCATCTTCTTCACTGAATCTGGGTGATTCAAGCGTAGTTCTCTCTTTTTGGGAAGCTTTTGCTCAAGGAAAAAGCAGAGAGGAATGAAGTGATGAAACAGAGGTGGAGGCTTGCCTTTTTATTAGTGGCTGTCTCAGCTTTGGTGCTTTGCTGATGAATCTCTAGTGGGGCATGACAGGCAGTAGTACATTATACAAGGTTGACCTCGTTGTTTCCGATTCATGGGGTACAAAATGGCATCGACGATTAAACAAATGAGGGATGAGAGAAGATAGATTTTGGGTAAATCTCGAGGTTTGATCTTGTATCGTTTGGGAAGCAATCAAGAGACAAATACTCACCTCGTGTTAGAATTCTTTGAGAATTTGATGTTAGCACAAAGGTAAAAATGAAGGATGGTAACCACTTGGAGTTATGACCGTGGAGTAATCTTCCTGGGAATTGAAAACAAAATTAATTTTGAGCAGTAATACTCAGCATGAAGTAAGTTACTAAGGTAGTCTTTGGGTTGGATTGGTGAGCATTCTCTTTTTCCTAGTGCTGCATGATCTGTACTTAGGCAATACCTTATAATCTCTCCACTAACTTTTCGGCACTCTCTTTCCTTGTACGACAAAGGTGGCTGATTACTGATTGGAGAGGTCTGTTCATTGAAGAAAATTAGGTAAGGATTTGAGATTTTAGCAATTGGGAATTGAGAGGACCATGCTAAACCAAGAAAAGTGTGTGACCTTCACACTCGTTTCTGTACCCCCACCATCGCTCACCGACAACACGTTTGTCCCCAGTTCTTTCTCCTAAAATTATAATTACACCCGCAATCAAAGGAGAGAATCTTGTCGTGGCCCTACACTTTGTTTTACAGATTGGTTCGTTTTTCGTTTAAAATGGGGTTTCTTCTGTTTTACTAGTTCGATACCTCTGTGAAGCTTGCACAGAGAAATTCCCAACATGTCGAGCGCACTAGGCATTCTAGAGGCGTTTCGTTTTTTTGGTGGCTGTGGGCACACCACGTCCCCGTGGGGGCTAATGACCTAGTGTATTTCACCACTCACTGTAGAAAGTTGAAGGCATCTACGAGGACCACTCGTGAGAGGTTCCTTGATGCCAGTCGAGAGAAATGTAAGTCCATATCGATCATACAATACGTTTGGAATCATTGGGGAGCGTCATGTCATTGGACATCAGAAAGACAAACTCAAAAGCCTTTCCGTTTGTGTTCCCCGATGGTTTAGAGCCATAGGTTTTGCAAAAGACCAGGGGAAAGGATGACAAAGTTAGTAGGCCATCTTTGCGGGGTGTAATTGAGTGAAAGATTTTGAGAATCAAAAGATGAAATGATTCTCTCCATTGATATAACCATACCCTCATGTGACCTCTTAAGAAGGGGAAAAAGATATTGACGTATGCGGGTAGAAGAGGTTTTCTGTATATAATTTCATATCAGTGGCCCACAACTTTAAGTCT